AGCATACGCTCATACTGATAAATGTTATTTGCTTTGCTTTAACAACCTGTGATTACTGTGCAATGTGCAAACCAGTCTCCAGTTTTTGTGGCAGACACCCTCGATGAGGAGTCTGTCTCGAATGACAAAAGAGAGATGATTTTACCACCTAACAGCTGGTGCAAATGAGCAAAATTTCAGTGACTTTTACACCAATGCTGTCAATTTGTGCTTGTTACTATGTGTACAAAGTTATTTTATTCCTGTCTTTTATATCACATAAAGACAAAAGGCATCTTATTCAAAAGGCAAACATGTGATTTTGGCCTTTTACAACTGTTTTTATTGTCGTAATTGTAGCTCTGCTGTGCTCCTCCTTGTGGCAAATACTCACAAAACATCCAAGGAACAACAAAAATCCATTTAACAAAAATGACAGACCATTAACAATAGCCACTACAGATTCTAATGTTTATTTAGGTTGAGACAGTTAGTGGATTAAGTGATTAGTTGATTGACAGAAAAATTTTATTTTGTTACCCGAATAGTTGTCATTCAAAAAAATGTGATGTTATTTGAGAACATCATCTAAGGTCTGTTTCCTCACTCTATATGGACATGCTGAATTGAGACGATAACCAGCAGATATCTGAAAATAGTCTCTAATGTTGAATCCTACCTTTACTTGCAGCCCTGTTCTGCACCTTGTTCAGCAAAGTACTGCTGAATGTAGCTTTCAACCACACACCTGGAAAGCTTCCAGTTCATTGTGAACATGGCCTGATGTATTACCAGACACCCTGCATTCATCACTTTGTTTCCCCTTTGTGTTTCTCCTTTTTTAAGGCAACTGCAGGAATTATTAGCAGCTTAGCAACGAGAGGCCCCTAAGTAGCTCTTGGGGTGTAAGCATGTCTCCCAAGTCAAGGCCACCAGCACTCAGAGCCCCCAGTCCCATTCAGCGATAATGTACATGTCAGCAGAGACATGCAGTGATCCCTCACATCTCCATGCTAAATGATCATTTTCTTTCTTACGCTCTTTCATTCCAGTAAATCCACTCACCTAAGAAAAATTCACAGAAGATATTAACACAGTCTAACAATAGTCCTCAGAAAGCATGAATCAGCAGATGATTCCCAATTCCATGCACACAACAGGGGATTGTATTGAGGCTATGGGTGTGTGTGTTAGAATGGGTGAGGGGGAGGCTCTGTTAGAACCGACACTCCCATCCAGGAAAATTCCAAACCCCCGGCATCAGTACAGAGCTTATGAGCTGTGGGAAAGCCGAGGCGAGTTGTGCAGCGACGGAGCACCTCGCCCGAGTCTCCAGACAGCCTGATTTGGGAATGCCATGAAATCTGTGGCACCTCTCCTGGCTTCCTGGCTGAACGGTTGCCATATCTTGTGATGGACTGAGGCAGGAGAGAGCGTAGCAGCCAGGGATGAATACGGCTTAATCTTTACACAGGCCACATGTGTGTGCATGATAACATGGTTGCTTTCTTCCTGTGCAGGGTTATTCTCCACCAGCTGCCAGGTTAGCTGCCTCGCATAGCCGTGTTTCACTGCGATATTTGCCCGATGTAAAAAGAACTATTGCACCTAAGGTGGGGGCTAATGCATGTTTTTGGAAATGGCTGTAATTCCTGACACATTTCGAGAGACAGATAGGGTGTCTATAGCAAATGACAATATATGTAAAGACACCTAGCTCCCCCCCCAGTTCCTAATATTTTATTTGTGAAGAACCTCCTTTTGCTGGTGATGAAGGTTATTTTTATAATTAAATGTCAGTCCTATGATCAAAAGAAGCAAATACCTAAATACAGTACACATTTAAAGTTGGACTGTAGGACTGCAGACATCAGGAAAATGCTATTTTTGCATCATAAGATTTCTATACAGAATAAATATAGATCTAAATTGGTCTGCATGAAATGGCCTTCAGTTTTTTGGGCTTTGATTTTGCTTAATTTACAGGCAACAAAGCTCAGATAAGCAGCTCTATCCCACATTCTGGACTCTTCATGATGTATGCGTGTTTATTTGTGTGTAAGTGTGTGTGCTGTGTGCAGGTGGTCTATACTCTATACATTTATCTCTTATCTACATAAGCTTTAATGCAATCACTCCAGCAGCTTGGTGTAAATTTCCCCATTTTCTTTCCTCCTCACATAAACTTTATCCCCCTCCTCTCATCTGCCCAGCTACACAAAGCCCATCAATTATGATTGCATTATCATAAATGATTTTATAACATCTGCTTGTCAATAATTATCCTACAAATTCCTGTGACCTATGACCCGCACTCTGAATGAACCCCAGGTGTAAGGCACTGTCGGGCTAATGAGGAGCGCTACACCAGCACATTGTCCCCACGTCAGTGCACACAGCTACCCAGCCACTACAATTAGAGCCTGGCACACGCCTTAACATTAGCCAAAAACTGAGGAATTGTGCTAATTGAAAACATTGCATTCAGGAAGAGAGAGGCTTTAAGCGAATGGTGAGGATGTTTGATCTAATATCAGGAAAGATGCACAAAAGGTTGTTTCTCTCACAAGGAGAGTATGTAGTGTTTATGGTGCAGACGCTCTGTGAAAGGGTTCCACAAAACTTGAAAAGCAAAGACTTTCTGTTGTTTTGTCTATTAATCTCTAGTTTAGAACATATTTTTACACTGATGGCAATAATATAAATGAACAAGTAGAAGGAAATTGGGGTGTTTCTCAGAGAGTACTCATGTGACTGTGCTGAAGCTGTAGATGTTTTACCCACAAAACCAAAAGGCCACTATTTCAAAACAAAGTCATAGTTTTGAAGGTAATATTTCATTTTAAACATAGTCAGCAATGAAATTGATCATAACACACTAGAAAATGCTAAAATGTAGCTGTCTGCACATAAAGACATATTTATGAATGTGTATGTCAATACATTAATAAATACCGCTTCTGCAACCTGTAACTGGTGGAATGATAAGACATGTGTGTTAAACAGTTAAACAGAAATGCTTTAGAATGCACTGTTATGGATTTGTTCAATCACATTTCTTAAATATAATTACAGCTATATTTTACTCTTATCTATCAGTGAGTAACTTTTGATTTATCGGTCCACATGCCTCATAGGAGAGACTAAACATGTCTTTAGTTTGTATCTTCTTACCACTACAGCATAGTGCATTTTAAATAATGTATTATGTGTTTATATATGCCTTACAAATGCTAAAAGAGAGGTTTAAATAAAGTGTTACCAGCTACTTTTGTTCAGTGTATGACCAAAATGTTGTTCCCTCTTACACTGGATTGATAGTGTCGAATAGTTTGCTAATGTTTCACGAGATTTCACTGAAGCCAAATGTAACTGAGTGAGATCTTAGACCACACAAACCAAATCCTGCTTTAACATAATGATAGCAACTATCTAATAACAAAATTAAAACAAATACAGAGTACAACCTCCTTAATGCTTATATTACAAACCAGTACTCAGAGACACTGAAGTGTATCAATCTATTACGCAAGTTTGTTTCTCCCTAAACAGCATTCTAGTTGCTCTATAACACACACAACTGCAGTGTCAGATGCAGTCCTAATTGAAAAGTTAATTAACTCTTTGAAGTCATCGGCTGTCATTCCTGCAAATCAGACTCCAGTCCAGCCCCCCGAGGCCACCTTTATATCAGTCTTAATGGCTGGGGACCCTCTGCTTGGCTACATGGGAACGGTTGGTCATTGAAAGTACCATTTATAGAGTATTGTTTAATTAAAATCAAATTAAGAGAATTGTATGCAGAATTAAATTTCAGGTATGAATTATTGTTGAAAACAGAGTGCAACTCAGATAATCAAACTTTTCATTATCATCTCCTCCCTCCAGAGGTGCCTCCGCCACTTCACTCTGCGTCTTTGTTGGCGACTCCCAAAACATAAATGTAGGATGAGAGGATGTTACCCACAATGCATTGCATATGTTATCTCTCAAACATTAACTTCCTTGTGCCAAACATGATTGTTTTGTTTATTTTGTTCATTATGAGGACCGCCATGTCACCAATCAAACTGTATGTATGGGAGCATATTCTCAGTAGGGGAGCTGTATGGGATATGTGCACACACCTAGCCACTTTTGTTTAGAATAATTTTTTTGTGTAAATAATGTATACTGCCATACATAAAGTGAAAATAATGTTAAAATTCTAAATTTTCACATGCTACATGTTTGGATGTTTTCTTAAATCATTGTTTAAGTTCCATTCAGTTAGATTGGTGGTAATGTTACGATATAAACGTGATCCTGGTAATGATCAGAACCAAACAAACTTTATTATTAACATGTAAATAACTCACAGCCTGATAAAGATGCATTTGTGGTTTACATCTGAAGGCTTGAAAGTGTTTCTTCATCTTTGACAATTGCATGTTTTGGACATACAGTTACATCAGAAACTTCATTTTTTATGCACCCACACTGGCAATAGCCGGGGCTGAATGTCTTCAGGTTGTCCGTGCGTACGTTAGTATGTTCAGCTTTATCAAATGCTGTCTTGGATTCAAGGATGAACTGATTAGTTTTTGGTGTTCAAATATCACAGTGACCTCACTTTTGTCCCATTTTTGTGAGTGTGATATCTCAGGACACCTTGAGGGTATTTCTTTAAATTTGGCACAAACATCCACTTTAAATCAAGGATGAACTCAAGGTCTCTGTATCCTCACGTTTTTCCCATTCATTCTCCATAATTAATGACAAATTACACAGATCTTTCTAAGAAATTTCTTAGGAAATTACAGAAAATATTGCCTGTCTTCACATGAGCTGTCAGTTGACAGGTGAAGTTATATATATTTGTCCATCAAACCCTTGTACTTCTGTGTTATTTCACTGATAAAATCCCACCATCCTACTGTTGTCTTATATTAAAGGTTGTGTTGAGATGACTCCTCCCATGTCATTTCTAGGGGTCAGCGCAGGTTTAATTGATTCTCCTTCTCCCTCCATCTCTTATCAAGGCCACTGCTCCTCTCCATGGGAACTGCTAATTGGACCTCCCCTGTGGCCACTTGAAGAAGCAGCCAGACGTGGCCCTGTAGACACTTCTGCCAGTCCACAGGGACGATGGCAGATAAGAGATTCACGCCAGCTATGCGGGTCTGTGGATCCACTTCTTTAGGGATGACAGTCTGATGTCTCCCTACTTTGCCATCTGGTCCTAGATTTACCAACGAACCAGTCGGGACAAGAGAGACTCAACATGATTTTTAGACGATAACACCCCTGAATGTTCAGGCTGTTGAGTGTTTATGTGTGTGTGCTCTTCTACTTCTATCTTTGTGAGGACCACTTTGAGTTTTAGATTTTGGGGGCATGTTTTGGAAACTCAGGATAGTTTTGGAAAGGAAAGGAAAGTTTTGGAAAGTGAAGACATTTTTGGAAAGAGGATATTTTTAAAAAATATTTTTGTAAAGTTAGAATGTATTTGAATAGTGAAGACATGTTTAATTTCAAAGTGTGGACACGTTTGCAAACTGAAGACAGTCTTGGAAAGTGCAGATATTTCTGACAATTAGAGGCATTTTTTGTAAAGAAAAGTATATTTTTGTAAAGTGAGGCTGTTTTTCTCTAAAATGAAGTATGTTTTTGAAAAATGGGGACCTTTACAAAAAATGAGGACATTTTTGTACGGTTTAAGAAAGTACAGACATTTTGAAAGAAAGGGCCTTTTGAAATGGAGCAAGTTTTTGGAAAGTGCATACATTTTTTATAAATTAAGTGGCTCTTTTACGTTCAAGGGACATTGTAAGACAGTTTTGAAATTAATAACTTTTTAAAAACTTTTTGGACATTTTTGAATTTTGGAAAGTGTGGACATTCTTAACAAATGGAGACCATTCTGAAGAGGGAGGATAATTTTGGGAAATGAGGACATTGTGAGAAAGGCAATTTTCAAATGTGATAACCTTCAGCAAAACATATTTTCTATAAGTGAGTGACAACGTGAAATATGTTTTAGAAGGTTTAGAGGTTTTTGAGACTTGCTTTTAGGGTTAAATTAGATTTAGGTTGGTGAAGGTCATCATATGTAAACGTGTGTGACAGAGAGAAAGATACAATGAGAAAGCGTGGGAGTATATGGGAAGAGTTAAAGGTCGTGTTTGTTGTGGGCATGGCAGGCGCCTGTTGGTGTATGTGTGTGCGCATGTAGTTGTGTAACTGAGGTTTCATTAGGGTGTAATGAGAATTGCAGGTTTGATGTGTGTGTGTGTGGTAAAGTGTGATATTTGGAGGAAGTGGGAATTGTGACAGTGGCAGGTTTGTGTTTGTACTCACGGATGCAAAATGTGTGCGCAAGTGTTTGTATCAAGTACGATGAATGAAAATGCCCTAGATTCTGGTGTGAGCCAGTGTCTTTGTCAGGTTTGTGTGTATGCTTGTCTGCCCATGTGTGACAGGACATCACACGCGTGTGTGCTTGTGTAACTGACCTTGATGTTTGTTCCTCAGAAGTGAAGATGAACAGATAAGCAGCAGGCTCTCGCCTCAGCTGTTCTTCTTTTCTTGCTTCCCTTCAACCACCAAGACAGAAGATGATGTTCGGTTTATTCTATATCAAACTGAAGATTACTCAGTCTGTGCATCCTGTCTGCACTCGATATAAAACCAGCACATTTCCTCGAATATGACATTTAAATCTTTTTAGGTAAACTTCTGTAAGAGAGGTAGAGCAGGATTTTTTTTCTTTTTTTTCACCTCTGGTCAAACAGATTTTCTTTTCACACATTTTAAATAAACCTAAGCAACAATGCGGCACCAAGAAATGAAAATGGTTTCATATGCACAAGCTGATGCATCATTTTTACAGTAACATGAATAATATCAAAACATTCACACCATTGTGACTCAACAAGTGTGCCCGCGGCTAAAACTTTATCTTTCAGTCTCTTTGTTGTGGAACGGGTTTTTAATGAAATGCCCCAAATTTACATGAAACACTTGTCACCTCTTTTTCACTTTCATTTTGTGTAGACCATCAAACGGAAACCAACTGAGAATAATGGTTTTCCACTGTCTGCTTTGGCATGTTCAAAGAAATCTTAAGTATTTAAGAAAGTTCCAGTTCATTATGGTTTACATTATATGTGACCACTGTTAGAGCAAAAGGTGCAAAAGGAGTCCTTTCTGCTGAATTTGTTTCAAGATATTGCACAAGAAAAAAATCCTGAGCAAAAAAACTATATCAAAACTCACCAGTCATAACAGTTGTAAAACCACAGTGAAGTTGCATCTGTGCAGGAAGAGTGGAATTGAAAATGAATTGGCGTGAAGTTTCTCAGCATGAGTACAGAGAAATCACAGTGGATTCCAGAGAGAGCCCGGGAGTCAAGATTAACGTTTGAAGGCTAAATGGTGTTATCGGTTCTGATTAAGGAGCATGTACGTGGTACTTGCCCCACCTCTGAGACAACCATGGATGTCAATAGGGCTAATTGGCTCATTAGACCTGGTATTTAACTGTGCTATAATCATTCTGTGTCATCACTTAAGCCCTGGTGGAGCACGAGTGGCTCCAGCGATTGAATACCCCCCCAACCGCTGAAATAATCTGCAGAGGGCTTGTCTGACATGAGGAGTGCAGGGGGCCTCATATATCTTTAACTGTGTGGCTTTTCAGTTTAGCTTTTTTTAGGGGGAATTTTTCTTTTCCAGCAACTAGATGTAAAGAAGAACCTACACTACAGTCACAAAAACAGGTTTATTTTCAGCTTTCTTGGGTGTTCTTGTTTTCTTATAACTGTGGATATTTTTAGGCAAACAAAGTCAACATGACGTCACAGCCGTATATTTCCTGCATATGCTAGTGTTTTTAGTAAATCTGTGAAGCCAGGAAGCCTTTAGACCTACAAAGACTATAAACCCCATATCACTGTCCCCCAAAATACACCATTTTTAAAATTTTGAGACTCATAAACAAGTGAACAACTACTATAGGTAGAGTGGATGGCACTGAAAAGATATTCAGCTGGGTTAGAGGCACAAGACAAGCCCCAAACTCCTGTGAGAACATGAATTCTTGCATGCGACTCTTAAATGGACATTAATTAAACCAAATAATATTTAAACAGTTTGCATGGAAATAGCAAAGAAAAGGTTGTGAAATATTGTGTGGATGAGGGTGGACAACAGAATTTAGAGTCTGCAGAGTTTCGGAAGTTAGTCACTACCAGTCTTCCTTTCTTCTCTGTTTCTTTCTTTCTTTCCCCATTAGCAGCCATCCCTTCACATGTGTGATGTGGACAATCCCAATTCCTGTTCCAAACATCAAACATCTTTAAAATAAAAATGATTCACAAGGCGAAATTATCCCTAAACACCACCATGTATTTGCTCATTCAACACACCAGTCAAACTGCCAACATCATGCGTACAGTTAAAACAAGCAGTGAAATTCAGCCTAATGCCAACAAGTGGATGTGTGTTTTAAGTTGTTCTTAGACATATAAATGCATGAAATAATCAAATATTTAGAAAGATGGCACTCCCTAATTTTGATCTAGTCACTGAGGAAGCTCTGCCACTAAATAGCTAAAGTGTAACTGTCCCAACAGTCGTAATGTGTCTCCACCTGAATTCAAATAGCTGCAGATGAGCCAGGTGGGGAAGGTGGGACAACCACAAAATGCAAATAAGATTTTATCACAAAATTACTCCTGCAATGCACTGAACATAATAAACTGATCATAATAGAGTTTATGGAGTGGATATCTAATAATTCAGGTTTCCTTCAAGATGTTTGTTCTTCCTTTAAATCTGTACTTTGTACGTAATATAATTTACTTCATCAAAGTCAAAACAAAAATGCAACGCAAATGAAATCATGCAGAACAAATCAAAAGTTGAGACCAGACCCATCTTCCCACTTTGTTTGTTTCCCATTTGCAACGCTCCACACATCCGTTGGAAGCTTGTGCCATCACTGCCATGGTCTTTGCTTAAAGGATGGGGAGGGAGTGTCCTGAGGGCCTGTGAAAGCTGGCATGGTGCTGACCACGCTGCCGTTTCCTCTGAAAGGAATGTCTGGTGTGGCATCAGTCATTGCTGTCATTCTGGAGATGGTCTGCCAGTCCCTCATCACTGTGCCACCACTGCACGCACACAATACACACACAGAGAAACATAAATAGGCCACACTCAGCTCCCACCCTGTGCATGGCAGTGATAGGCAGAGGACGAAGAGCATGCATCCTTATCGACGCCAATCCAGATGAACCTACAGACACGCTTCCCCAACACCCCAGACCCACTCACTGCACAGTTGGCCACCATTAGACTTCTTGTAGTTATAGCAGTCTTTAGGCTAAGGGGAGGGGGGGGACAGCACTGCCAAGGTGCATCTCTGATTTGCTACATTTCCCAGGGCAATGGGGCCTCTAGGCTTACTGGCCCATGGAGACATAAGCCCCGGCCTCCCTGGAGGCTCTCGGCCAATCCAGATGCTTGGCATGGGCCGAAACGCCCAATGGGAGCTGTCCAAGAGCCGTGGATGGCTATGATATGTTTCCACCGAGGGCACATTCAGTCATGTGGAATTTCGATGGATGAAAGGAATGTGTTTCGCTGGGGGTGGACTGAACGAGAGTGAGTTGGCCTGCTGCTTTCACACATTTAGCAAATAAAAGAAGGTATGTCGTCAAAATGATAACAAACTTAGCATTTAAACAATAAACTTTAGGACAAATTTAATATTGTACCTGATATAAAAGACGTTAAAGGGTCATTCACCCAAATTTAAATAAAAAAAACTGAGATATCTGTCATTGAGATTTCAGTCACCACCCCAGTACAATAGCAGGCTGCTTGAAGTGAATGTAATTTAGATGTTGGCTCTTTAAGTATTGGAAGTTTATATAAAAGAAAATTCAACCTGTCTTTCCAAAAACAGTGTCACATTACTCTGGATCATCCACAATGACAAAAGTTTTATCTGTTCTAACTGTATCTCAGTATTCCTAGTAGATACTTTTTTGCTTTTTCAACTCAAATAATCTAAAATTTGTTTAAAATCTGCTACATTTGCTGCACAGAGATTAAGGAAACGCAGTCAAATGATGCTCAAGCGCCATGCAAGACAACATTAATACTGATTCAGCAACCCCTTGAATGATGATTATTATTCATTTCTAAAATATCTATGCAAACCTCTACATTAAGATTGCAAAAATAACTTGCTGCACCCCATCTCCACAGACCTGCAAGGTGAACTTCATGTGACATTGGCAGCTGAAGGCTCAAGTAGGTTTATTTTTGGTAAACCTGGTTGCTGGTCTGCGATCAGTAAAGAAGCACAAATCTCTTGAGAGCAAACAGACCTTTCGTCTTTATTAGCATGCTAACATGCTAGCAGATTACTGTAACTCACCAGAGTAGTTGGTCATGCGACCCTCACTTTGCAGGTCATAGCAGTCTGTTGAGACTGGACACAAATTGTCCACTGTCCAATAATTTGGTGTGAGTGGAATTCTTAGAAAGTGGGCTTCAAAAAGACATGATTGGTGACTTTATTGCTGTTTTAATGCTTCTACTGTGTTATGAACCTTAAACATTATGAGAACTCTGGGTTTTATGATTCATAAAGACTCATAATGTCAAAGACATTCATTAAAGATGGCACACAGGGCCCCCCCGCTGCCCCAGTCAAAGGGTTAAAGGCACACTGAAGAAGGATTACGGTAATTTTAATCTATTGTTTTTTTTTTTTATTTGCTCTGACTGCTCTGCCTTGATGGTTTTGATTAATATGACCAGGAAATGTTTGTGAGCAAGACATATACTGCAATTCATCTGCAAAATAACCCAATCATTACGAAGTAATGACAGGAGGTGAAAAATGATGCGAGCCCACCACGGCTCCCCAACATGCATCGACACAGAGGACTGGAGGCCCCACCTGTCACAACGATGCAGTAATTGCATTGTGGGCTCTCTCTTCTCCTCAGCTTGCACTCCACTCTTCCCCATCCACTGTTGTTCAGCTGCGCAGACAATGCTCGTCTTAATGAAGCCGTCTGACGAGGTTGCAATTACAGACTTCTGTCACTGTCACTGGGGGCAACCAGGGAGGTGGTAGAAGGGAGGGGGCGGAGAATATCTCACCCCTGAGGGCTCTCCACACCCGCTGTGTTACACTGGATGGCAGGGTGGCTAAGCTGCTGTCACAGGCAACTTGAGAGTGCAAGCTGGATTAGAGCTTTACTGTATGAGTGATTGTTAGAAAGGAAGTGATGCATCACAGTGTATGGAGATGTCTCCAGATTGATGGATGATCCAGTGACACTTCCATGCACACTTAAAATTGAAGAAGTGCTCCTGAGTGCAGGAACAAACATCACTGGACTGATTTTTTTTAAAGCTCCATAGATTAGGAGAGCTTTTTGGAACTAGTACTTTTAAGACAAATAAGATGGTGCTATTTGTTAGAGGGTGTGGCACTTTCATAATAAATTGACAAAGCAACCAAGGCACTTAACATTTAAAAAAGTTAAAATACCTTCAGTAGACTGGCAGCTGGCATGGTGGCGCCTTTCTGTGTGGATTTTGAATGTTTTCCCTGTGGCTGTGTGGGTTCTCTCCGGGTACTCCGGCTTCATCCTGCAGTCCAAAGACATGTAGCTTAGGTTTATTTGTGACTCTAATTTGTTCCGTGTGGTTGTGGTTTATTGTTTGTCTCTAAGTGTCAGCCCTGTGATAGACTGGTGACCTGTCCAGGGTGGATCCCGCCTCTCACCCAAAGTCAGCTGGGATTGGCTGCAGCCACAACCCTA